AGGAGGGGGAGGTCCCCTCTACAGAGGCAAGGGGTGGCTCATCACTAAGGCGTGGGGCCAGGGGTGCCAGGTAGAGGGCCCCTCTCCACCACTGAGGCCTAGCCACCTGGCGGTGCAGAGGACCCTGTGGGGCTCCTAGGATCCAGCCAGGGCAGGGCACGGCATCAGGGACATCCTGCAGGGAAGGAAATGGGCAGCAGGGATGGGAGGGGCTCTCAACCTGCTCCTGCACACAGCACCCGCGGGCACGCTGGCCTGCCTCCTCACTGGGGTGGACGCTCCCACCTCCAGGCCTTGGCCTTGGCTGTTCTGTCTGCTGGGCCATTCTGGATCCTCAGTGGCTCAGCTGCAGCTCTACCTCCTCCAGGAAGCCTTCGGAACCTCACAGGGCAAGGCTGCAGTATCCTCAGACGAGACAGCCCCTCAGATGACCAGGTTGCTCTCACTCAGCCGGACCACATAGCGGTTCTCCTGGGGGACAGGGGTGAGGGGTCAGAGCTGTCAGGAGGCTTCTGGACTCCAAGAAGGAGTATCACAGCAAACAGCTGGCGCAGACCAGCCACAGGCCTCTGCCCAGGTGAGTGGGCAGGTGGGCAAGGAGGGCCCCAAACCAGGGCCCAGGAGACCCCAGGAGGTAGTGAAGGGGAAGCGGGGTGACAGGAGGGGCAACATACCCAAGTGGTGAGTCCCCAGGAGGCAGTAGCCCTCTGTACCTCCACCCCTGCCCCATCTGCAGTCGGGGTTGGCACAGGTGCCAACAGACACCTTTCCCCTCTGGTCCTCACCTCGGCCTTGTTCTCTGCTGGGGACTTCAGCCATTTAGGGTGGCTTCCACCACTTCCCAGCAGTGTCTGCTGCTCACTGGAGAGGCCACGTCGTGGGGAGTCAGGGAGATCACCCCCTGAGGGCCCGGCCTCCGTGATGGTCTTCACCTCTGAGGCCACCGAACTCATCCGCTGCTCGGGAATTCGGGCCACACGGAACCTATGGGGAGAGGTGGTGCGATCATCCTCCATTAGAGGGAGGACCCCAGGTGTGGAGGGCGCAGCACCCGCCAGGGTCACACAGCAAGTTCATGGGTCAGAGCCTGAGCCCTCCCCACGTCTTCCCACCCACTGACAAGCTCCCAACACCTCTCGACACTAGGCTGCAGGTGGAAAGGCTCTTAGCCTGAGGCGGCGCAGGTGTGATGGGGGCTATGACCCTGCCCTGGGGGCCCAAGGACTCCATGTGAGAGAGCGTAGCTGGGAAGACCTGGCTTTTCCCTTGCCGCCCCCACTGCAAAGAGGCCCACTGAGGCCAGGAAGGGTGAGGCCACCACTGAACCCACTGTTCATGGGTCAGGCTAGGGTCCTGTCACCCCCAGAGCTGTCATGTCATGTTGTGGCACCCTGCTGTGTCTATGCCCTCCTCACCTGCCCACAGACAAGATGGTGATCTCGCCCTGGCGTCCTGCCTTGGCCCCAACCTTGGGCGCCCTGGCCGGGTTGGGCAGGAGTCTGGGAGTAGGAGTGGTGGCAGCTGCAGCCTCGGGGGACAGCAGCACCTCGGGCCACTTCTGGCTACAACGGGAGCAGCAGGGGCCAGAGAGTGAGGCCAGGCCCTGCACAGTGTGGAGGTGGTGGCGATGCGGGCAGACATGTGGCATGCCGGGTGGGCCCAGCGGCAGCCTGTGGAAGACACAGGTGGGAGCGGTCACTGGGGCAGGGCAGGCCCAGGAGACCCCAGGAGGTAGGTGAAGGGGAAGCGGGGTGACAGGAGGGGCAACATACCCAAGTGGTGAGTCCCCAGGAGGCAGGCTGATTACCTGTGGTTTGGGGCCCTCCTTGCCCACCTGCCCACTTACCTGGGCAGAGGCCTGTGGCTGGTCTGCGCCAGCTGTTTGCTATGATACTCCTTCAGCAGCTCCTCCAGGGCCGCCGCATTCTCTGTGGGCAGCTGTAGTCAGAACCCAGCTATGGGCTGTGAGGGGCACTCCCCCCAGCCTCCTGCCTCAGCACAAATCCCCCTACCTACCCGCCACCCCCTCCCTGGCCCAGGCTGTGTGCCTTTTCCTCCACCTCTCACCACGCAAGAGCAGGCAGAGAGGCGGCAGCACCGTGAGCCACAGTGGTCAGAGGGGCACGCTGGCCTGAGGTATCCCGGCGGGAGGGGCAGAGCAGAGCTCTGGGAGGGATGGGGTCAGACCTCCCCCCTCACCTTTCTTCTCTGTGATCAGGCGCACCAGGACCCCAATGGTGTCCTCATTGGCGTCATCAGTATGGTAGGCAGGGTTGACCCCTGGGGAAGAACAGAGAACCATGATCCTGGGGAAGGAGGCAGTGGGACACTCTGGGTTCACAGGCTACACCAGGACATGGCAGCAGAGGGCGCCCCTGGCCTGGCTGTATGCATACCTAAGGGCCTCAGCTCTGATTCTGAGCCCATTATCACCTTCACTACTTACTCAGCATCACTGCTCTCTGCACCCAGCAGCACCAGGGGCTTAGCGGTTTCAGGTCCATCTGAACTCCACCGTCCCTGCAGATGTGTGGGATGAGGGCACCACACCAGCCTCTCCCAGGGCCTGCCCTCTCCTCTCTTTAGCCTCAGGGAGCTGTGGGCTGCCTCTCTGCCCAGGACCTCCGACAGCCCCAGCAAACTCTGCCATCCCAGGCCTATCACCTCCCTGCACACCGCCCTGTCGGTATAACTAACTGAGGACCCGAACCTCAAGAGCATGAGAATGGGCCATGCAATCATTCCTGGGCCAGCAGCAAACAAAACTCCTAGGACTCGCGCCCAGGCAGCAGCCAACAGTTAAAGGGAGTCCTAGGCCAGGAAAACAAGTGCAGTTCCAGGCAAAATGGCCTGAGTTGCCACTTTCCTGCCTGCCTAAAGCGCCTGTCCCCCTCCTGCCCCCTGCAGACTGCAGTGTCAGAGGTTGAAAAGGGCGCTGGCATGGCAGGCACCATTCTATCTTGACTTGGCCCCCAATTTCTGTGAGCAGTGTATGTGCATGTGGGATCCCGGCCCTACTTGCCCTCAGGGGACAGCGCAGAGGGGTAAGGGGAAGAAGAAAAGGGACCCAGGGCCCTGGGGTAGGGGCAGGAGGAACATGTCTCTCCCTCTGGGTCCAGGGCTCGTTAACTCAAACCACAGCCTGGAGCTGAAACCTGAGCCTCTCAGGGTCCCTGTCCAAGACAGCTGCCCTGCCAGCCCTTCAGGCCAGAGGTCGGAGGTCACCCTGAGTACCCAGAAAGCAGTCCAACCCTTGAACCACACACACAACTGCAGCCCCTGAGGAGTCCAGGCCCTTACAGCTGGATAGGGCCTCACACAGGGAGGGAATCCCACTGAAGCCACTTGACCTCTGCTCTGCCCCAGTTGCCACCTCGGGCCGCCTCACCCTTCCTTCTACTTTGCCAGTCCGCAGTGTCTCCTCTGCGGCCCACGTGCGGCACCTCCAGGAAACTCTCCTGATTAGCCCTCTGCAGGCCTCTCCATGTCAGACCCTCCAGACCAAGTAGGTCCTCAGCCGCGCCCTCTTGCCTCCCCACCCAGCCCCAGGCTGGGCCTCACCGCTGCCTCCGCCTCCAGGACCAGGTCCGACCTCCTTGTGGGCCGTGCAGTGGTAGCCCTTCCGCTTGAGCAGGTTACACACCAGGATGCCTAGCAGCCCCATGAGGCAGAAGATGGGCACAATGGCAATAACCGCGTACTGGGCAGCTGTCTCCTCAGGGCTGCCCGCCCGCGTGCTGTTCCCAGGCTGCCGCGTCTCCCCCGCGCCGCTCGCCCCTGCTGCCACCTCCATGCCACGTCGGGCCCGTCGCCCCCACTCTGAGCACCACGGAGGATGGAGGCATGGAGGAAAGACAGAGGCAGAGAGAAACACACTCAGAGAGGCCCAGGGCCCAGGTTACTGTGGGCAGGGGTCGGGGCGGTGGGTGGTACCGGCATGTCCAGAGCACCCACTCTCCACCATGGTGGGGAAGTAAAGGGCAACTCACACCCTCCTTTTTGGCCATCTGACCAGTCAGCCAGCCTGAGCAAGGCCTCCTCAGCCCTCAGGACGGCCAGACCCTGAGGCCCCTGTCCACCCCTCATGATGGGTCAGAGGGGTGAACAAAAGGCAACGGTGCACATGCCTGGGCACAGCAACACCGGATCCTGCCTCCCCACAGCCTGACCCATGAGTTAGTTGCCTCAGAAGGTGACCAACTCAACAGGTGAGAGGAGGTGCATGTGTGTAAGCGTATATTCTCACACTCAGCTACGTGGGTTATTTCGAGGGGATAAGGACAGGAGACCGGTCGGGATGTGAAACCCAAGCTGTGGCAGCCACCTGCTGGACAGTCTCTGCCACTCAAAGACGGGGTGAGAAGACACAGCCAGTGGACCTGCTGGACACCCTTGTGGCTGCACACCCTCCCCTGGGCTAGGGGAGTGAGGACCCCACTGCCCCAGATGGACACTGCGGGGCCCTTGGGCTCAAGCTCGCCAGACCCCTCCCCACACATACCCCGCCAGTCCTAGCCATCACCTGCCACTCACCGTGACAGCTGCGAGTACCCAGGGGTGTCCAGGAGCATGGCTGACAGGGAACATGGGGGACCTCTGACGGGGCAAACCACCTGCAGGGAGGGAAGATGTTACTGAAGCCCAAAAACCATCTTTAAGAGAGGCTGGAACTTCCTACTGGGCACCCTCACTGGTCCTGACCCACCCCATTCCACAGATGGGAAGACTGTGGCCCACTCAAGAAGTGAGTGAGGCTGGGACCCCAGGATCTCAAGTCCTGGTCACCTGGTCATGAACACCCACACCCCACCCCATGGCTCACCCAGGCTGGCAGTTTCCACATAGTGTGTCTCGAGTTGCCGTGCCCACCTGGGCCTCCAGCCTCCCTTGAGGGCTGCAGCGGGAGTGCGGCTGGCAAGGGCTAGAGCCCCAGGAAGCTGAGAAGGTGCCTGGGGGACAGGACCTGCATAATGTGCCCCGCCTTGGTTCCTGCAGGAGGG